TTGGAGAGGCCGTCGGGTGATGCAGGATTTTTACCACTCGCGCCTTTCCCCATTTCGGGTCTTTTCGGCTCAATATTAAGATTCCGGGGTTGCGGGGGGTGAGGCCTGCGTCGAGAAATCGATGCAGGATTTTTCGTATCAACAGTAGTAGTAGTGGTAGTGGTAGTGGTAGTAGTAGTCGTCGTCGTCGTCGCCATCGTAGTTGTACTCGTAGTCGTCGTCGTAGTACTACTACGTCTACTGCTGCTACTATTACGACGACGACGACGACTACTACTACTACGACTACTACGAGTACGGATACGAGAACTAATAAGCTATTTGTAGTGGTGATGGGGCTGGTAACTGTAGCATCATCAACCATAAACCATCTTCATCGTCATCATCATCATCATCAGCATCTTCCTCTGCATTGCGATCACCCTCACCCGAAACGTCATGACGATAACAACCATCACGCTGACCATCACGGACAGCAGCCCTTAACTTCAGGCCCTAAGACCCCACTCTAAAACCCTAAACCCTACACCCTCTATACCTGAACCGTAAACCCCAAACGCTACAACCCTACAGCGCCGCGAAATCGAAGCGAGGCCCTTGGGGCCCTCGCCCTTGGATAAGGAGGCGATGTTTCGGCCCATGTAAAAGCAAAGGACCATCGCGCAGATCAAGCCTTGGCATTGGGTTTTAGTAGAAGGACCTTCATATCTAGAAAAGGGTTCCTTTCAAGGGGTTCCTTTAAGGGTTACTATCAGGGTTGAGTATAGAGGCCTTAACAATTAGACCGGGCTATGGGTGTTTGGGGGGTATAGTAGATAGTTAGATAAAAGGCCCACTGGGAATAACATCTCAATAGTCATTCCGACCCCTATACTACGGCCGCCAGAGCTTGAGGATTTTCAGGAGCCTCAGCTTCTGACAAAAGTAGCTCTTCGCGACGCACCAAGTCGTATGACCTGAGAGCGACCAGCTTTGAGGGTGGGGGTATTGCGCATCCCAGTGTGATCAGTATCGTTGAGAGCTCTGCTTGCAGTAATATGATGTTGCTAGCTTCTAGCATCATGGCGAGTACCAGGGTAGGCCTATAGGGTTTACGGGCTTGTAGGGCTTGCAACTAGGAATTATGTTTGTAAGCTTGCAGGGGGGACAGGGCTGCGAGGGCAATGCCAAGAACAAGTTGCAAACACATCTCCAGCAGGCCTTTCGGCGCATCTTCGCGGCTGCCATCTTCCATGTCAGCATCGAGCCTGTGAGGCTAAGGGTCGGGGACAAAAGTCTGAACCACAGGCCCGAAGAACTCAGCGACTTAAAGCCTACTTCAGCTCCCAGCTGACGGCTTGAGCACAGACTTGCACCTTGTGAATAGCGCAAGAGTCCAATACCTCTCTACTCAGCAATATACCTTGCATCATAATATGAAGCCTTGTATAGTGTAAGCTATGGCATGGTAGGATGCTTTTGAGTTGCTCAAACCTTTCCGTGTTTTTGTCCAGCGTTTGTCCTGAAAGAGAAAGCACAGTGGCTCAGAACACCAACAACAACTCGCACGGAAGGATCACGGCTTGAAGTTCGGGCTTGGGAGTACTGGTATGGGGTTCAGGGTGTAGGAGTCTGCTGACGAAGTTGGCGACTAATTGTCAAAGGTCCTATTCGCCTTTTTCTACTACTGCGACTAATCATGACCGTCACTATTAGTGGCTGGCCGGCTGCCTGGTGTGGAGTTACAACTTCTGGGGGCTAGGATGGGCGAAGGGCTAACTTGAGGCTTGCAGTTGAAGAAATCATCCGGCCTCGCATAGCCACAGCCATTATCCGAGGATGACGAACCTTGCAGACTAGTGGCTGTCCACGCGAAATCTCGCGTAAGATCTCAGGGCTCACGGAAAGGAGGGTTTGAGGCCCGACGGCCTCGAGTGCCTAATTACATAGAGTCCACTGCGTATGTGTCATTCTGAGCCAGAGCCCGTGTAGGCCCCGAGGATCGCACAGTTTGTTCTCAAAACCTTTTCGGGCACCCATCATCAATGTCGAGAAGCCTACTTACCTTTTTTGAAACTGCTACTGTGCTATGGTTTTTTTATAGGGACAGCAGCCTACCATGTAAGCACCTGGGTCTTTAGGGAATGCCCGGCCCAGGATCTTGTGGACCAGCCTTGCCTGAACAAGGGGTCAGGGTCGGGCTTGCACATGTTTCGGGCTTTGGGCTTCAAAGGAGGCTTCTGCGGAAGCAGCTCTGAAAGACGTTGATGTGTCCTAAGTCTGTTGTGAACTGAACATACTATTTACTCCATGCCCGAAACTCCAACTTGGGACCCTCATGACCCTAGGCACAACCTGAACCCCACAAGCTGCGTGGGGGCTTGATGTTTGAATGTTCAGTGTCGACGTCGTCCGGGACTGCGGCTGTAGGACTCAGGGATTCTATCCGTGTTCTCTTGCACAGCAATTCTACAGCTGCTCCGTAGAACTGTTGCTGATCTCGTCAAGATCAGCATCCAACCCCAGAAAAGGCCAAACCCTTAACCCCTGCACCCTGAGCATCAACCCTAGAAAAACAAAACAAACCCGCTGCAAAACAAAGACGACACGGGGTAGAGGTTCACTACCCCTTCGTTGTGCCAAGGAGCGCATCCGCTCATGAACGGCACGTAACCCAGAAACCTAAATGCAGAAACTCCGAAGCATCGATGCAAAAAGGACGGTGGGATCTTTCCGAGCCCTAAACTCTATGTAAACCCAATGCCCTGAACCCCAATCCCTAAATACCAAACCCCCAAACTAAAGCAAACCAGTTAGACTGGAGGAGTCTAGAGGCATGTCTTCTTGAACCTTCGGTGGCTGCACAACAGGAATGTCGAGCATCCGTGCGGTGCTTAGGCACTTCTTTTCTGGGTTTCAGGCACAAAGTGGAGTTTCAGGTTCGTATAACCATAAATACTATGCTCGGGGACCTTCTGTTGGCAGGCAGCCTAAGTTCCTGCTCATGCACGAGGACGACACGGACACACAGTCCCCTCCGGGAGACCCAACCGTGCAGGCTCAACAACTTGCCGAAGCGCACATGGAAAGGCGGTATCGGTTCCACGCCTACGCAAAGTGGCTGTGAGAGCATGAGCTAGCTCCATCTTGCAACTTTACGGTCTTGAGTCTTGCAGTCCTATAGTCATACTAACACACTCTTTGTAAGGGGTCTCAAACTCTTCTGGACTGCATGACTGAGACTGTTCGTAGAGACGAGAGAACTCCACATACAGACATCCGACGTGCTTGGGGGAAAAGCAGTTCGAGATCGAAGTGTGTGACTCAAAACAAGGGATTGGATAGCCAGATAAGGCTCGCGCCCATCAGCATCGGGGTCTTGCATTGCCTTCTGCCGATAATGATCGGAGTATGTTCTTGCCGTATGCTACACTTGAAAAGCGGACGGTAAAGGATACCACTAGTAGCTCTGCAAACCTCGGCTGAGGTGCGCTCCATAAAGGCTCTTCAACTTATGACATATATGAGGCTGAGAATAACTAGACTAAAGCTTGCGGGGTGGATGTTTAACAGTCACAGTCTACTCGGACCCTGATACACAAAATCGTCTCTGAGTTGTCCTGAATATCGTTAGCCACACATGCCCTCACAACAACTCTGGTACTGAAATGCAGAAACGCAAGTTATGCGGCACAGATCCGACTGCGGCTGCCTGTGTCTCGACACTTGTTAGTTTTGGCTCCAAACCCGAGGTAACAATCTCAAATCATTTGGAGGTTCACGAAGGAAAGGGCTTCGGCCGCTCCATCATCTTCATCAGCATCACCATCTGCTGGTTTATTACCATACTCTCTTATTTTCGTTATCACCCCGTCACGCCATCGCGTCCATGTTCGCGAGAGTCTTCGTTCGCCATGAGCATGAAGAATTTACTAGATTTTTCTTGAGCTTGGTCCCGATCCGTACCACTCTTCCATCATCACTGTTCTTGAGTTAGTTTCACATGTGTAAAAGTTTTCGTGCATCTACACTAGGCATGGGGAATCTTCAGCCATATGCAGCTGTCACGCGGGATTTTCTGTCAGTGCGGATCATGCGCCTTCTTCGGACCAGTCTCCAGAGTATGCATCTTCACTGAGATCTTTCGACACATGCCTTGGTCCTGCATCCAGCTCCGACCACTGACCAGAATACCCTGATTCCAGAACCTGGCCGCCACTTCAAAAGCCCCCTTGCCAATGCTCTCGACGGAACTCCCTCAACAACAAAACCTGCACCCTAAAGCGCTGACTGAATTGAAGCTCTATAAATTCTAAACATACAAACCACTCAGAAAGCAGAAAAAATCCTCCCAAAGCTCGGCTGAGAAGCGGATGCTTCTTCCAAGGGCTGGAGAAACCTGGTTCTTGTAGGAAGCAGGGGCAGGGTCGACAAGTCAGGTAATATGAGGGACCCTCTAGCTTCAGTGAGTGAAGTCTATATGGAGCCCTAGAGTCTTGCAATGCGGGATCCTTGTCAACAGTTCCTTTACATGAGGCACCCTCAATTTTCAGAAACCCGCATGCAACCTACCCTCTCACAAGAAGGAACACCTGAACCACCTTTTCAACAACACGAGGAAAAGGTAACAAACAAACAAAACACGCATTTGCTTTGCATTCGTGCCTGGACTGCGAGGACTCGATGACCTTGCTGTCTTCGGACACCGTGAGCCTAAGTCGTAGTCTGAGCGCCCGAAAACCCGGGGGTTTTGGTTTAGGGCTCAGGAAGTTTGGGGTGCACTTATGAATACCTTGGTACCTCTGCAGGACCATAGAAATGAAAGCCTGAAGCCTTAAACAACACAAACACACAAAACCCTACAAGTCCCAAGCTCCAAACCCTTAAGCCCCACGACATGTAGGACCATAATGGCCTTGATCACGTTCAATAGCGTTGTGGGGTACAAAATAGCGAAATTGTGGCACATGATGAAGGACGTTCAGGAACGTCTTGACGCATTACCAGGTACCCAGGCCCCTGCGTATCCTTATAAACGCCACACACTCTTTCAAGCTTATCAAAAGCGGCAAAAAGAAGGTTTGCAGAATTGTCACCCGGGAGCTTAAACTACCAAAAAGGAAGACCTCTAGAATTATGAGGCTATAGGGCCCCCACCTTTAAGGAAAAGTTCGGTCCTTAAAACAAGTTCCACCAGGCAGCTTGTTGGAGCTTTCAGAGCTGCTTGCGCGGAGAGGACCCCGTTGATCTGCCTCAGCTTTGTGCTGGGTTTAGAACCCTAAACCCTAAACCCTTAGGGTTGAGCACTTCCACGCTTCGATTTGCAGGGTTGGACGTAGTAATAGAGCTCGGAAGCTCTAAAGCATAGAGCTTGTGCGGTTCAGGCCTTAAGGATACCATGGGGAGTTCATAGGACAAAAAATTTTAGGGGTTTCTACAACCCCCTCAGAAGCTCAAGTCTATACACTTAACTGCCAAGCTGCGTGATCCGAGGAGGCATGGCTGTGTGCCAGATCTTCACTCACGGCAACGCCGGACTTTGGCGCAGAAACGGAGCTCTTGCCCTCCTCCTCTGTCTCCGCATAGCTCGCCTCGTATTCGTCCGCGATGTCCTCATCCGAGGACATCGGCTTCGTGTCCCACTGATACTCGGCCAGGGAATCAGCCTTTGGAGTTCAGGATTTAGGCTTTGAGCTTCTGGGTTTACCGCTTCTTAGGGCTTCGGGTTGATGGGGCCTAGATTACGGCTGAGATACAGCTTGGGGCTTATAGGGTTTCGGTTTGAAGTTTTAGGAATCTGCCTCATCTGGACGGACCTCGCTCAACGTAGGATCTGGAAGGAAATTGCTTTCGGGAGAGCTCGCCGGATCTTGAAGGTCCACTGCAAATGTCAACAGCGTCCTCGAGTCCCTTGGGGAGTCATCAACACCCAGCTGCTCGGCGGTCGGCTGATCCGACTTCGGCTCATCCTCTGTGGCTATGTGAGCAGCTGCTGCTTCTGTGGCAACTGCGGCACCTTGCACTTGCACGGCTTGGTCGGGATGGTCCTCTGCTCCTGCTGCCCTCGAGAGTGTCCCGTCTTCCGAAGTCGACGCTGGATCCTCCGAGTAGCTAC